CTCGTCCTTACTCCAAACCATATCAGTTGTAAAGGGACAAGGGGTAGAGACAGCACAAATTCTTAATTCCACTATTAACTATGAAAAAATTACAATGCTTTGATTATCTGGATGATGGATGGCAATTATGACCCAGACTTTTGAACTGCAAAGGAACCGTACCTTATGACCAACACAAAGATTCTTCATAAATTAACAAACTGCTTCTTTTCCAAAAAAAAAGGTTAGTTTCTGATAGAACAATTCCCATGTAACATTAAAATGGAATATTGAATGTGGATTGTATGAGATCAATCAATTCAATCCCAGTAAACCTCTTTTCTAGGCTTTTATACAGATTTTGTGCTATAAATGAACATGCTGGGTCTGCTAAATTTTCACTGTGTTGACAACAAGTAAATGTATGATATTAGCACAACATATTATTTACCACAGTTATATTTTGTCAGTGCTTAGACATCTCTTTACAGTATTTCACTTCTTATTGCATACTTAAAATATGTACTGAATGTAATTGCGTAAATCTTTAGGATTCACTTTGCATCCTAGTTCTTATTTTACTAGATTTGCGACGTGTAAATAACGATGAATTCAGTGGTTTAATTATTCTTAAATGACAATAATTCTAGGAATGTCTCAGATAACTCACTCCGAAATTTTTCTGAAATATCATAGACCTTTTAGTACCCATACTCTTATCATTTCTGCATTCTCTGGGTTTTTTTATACGATAAATAAACCTCATGTTGTCTTTGCACATTGCTGCTGTTGAGCTAGAACCATTCCATGCTATGGAAATGAACATACAAAATTCACTGGGACTAGGACAGTTTATGTTATGAGGCTGTGTGATGGCAGATTTCTGGACAGCGCATGGTCATCTCCCTAGTTTATTTATTCAAGGCCTGCAGACCTCAGCCCAGACCTCCCTCAGTTTGTTAGGCTTAATGGGGCCCTCTCTACCACACAGGGCAATTCTTCACATTCCACATTAGCTCCAATTTCCATCTGCTTTTTTCTTCTATTAAATTAAACAAATTGGGATTTCAGCGGGTAGGTTACGGGTGGTGCCGCCACCCAAAATATCCATGTGATGGCCATTTGTACAATGAACATTAGCACAGCTGTGTTTAATGTGCAGTGAACGAACCTTTACCTATCTGCTGCTTTTGATGCCCCAAGTGTATATCCAGTTGTTCAGTCTTTATACATTTTTGTTTTCTTGGGACATCCTGTATTCAGGTTTTTGAATTTGTTTGAATAAAAAATAGCCAGGAAGGTCAAAGTCCTTTTCAGCCTCTTTAACAGAACATCAAGTGACAGATTGATGACTGTGTTTTTCATCTTGATTTGACATTTGACATACAGTATACAGCATATTTGCCTCTATGTGATATATGTGTATATCCTGATTTTCCTTTCTTGATTGATTATTGGCTCTTATGCTTTGATCATCTATGATAGTCAAACACTAGTAATGTTGTGGTAATTTAGTAAATCTGTCCACTACAGATTAATAGCAACGTATAGCTTTATTGCAATGCAAAGACTAATGTTTGTACTAATGTAACGATTCAGTATGTGTAATGTACTCCAAGACAGAAATGGAAATGTGGGTAAGTTTCATGCCACTTTGAAATGGAAATGCCAACAGAGCTGTGCGGCATGTGCAGAGTGCGGACAACAGATCTATCAGTAGATGGCAGATTAGAAAAATGACTGTACCACCCACTAGAAGAGTTTACAATTGAGGATTTAGACATGTCCAGCCGTGGGGCTATTTTCTGTCATTCAGCACCAGAGATTACTAGATGCTAGTAAGAGGTACACAGAAACTACCTTCAAGAGCTTATTTTACCAAGATGTTAATTTACATGAAGAATAGAAAAGCAAGCAAAGCAGGATATTGTAGTTCCTTGCAACACCTGAAAGATTAAAGAAACAGACAGAATTAGAAAAGTATACAAGTTAAGGGATATTAAAGTATACTTACATAATTACAATTTAACATTCACGGTACTACACTGAACATTGTACTTGCATTATAGCACTCTTTGTTAACATTTCGGAGGTCCAAAGTACATCAAATGCACAAGAAGAAAGATGTAGAAAGAGTGGGTGCTCACACAAAACAAAGCAGGGGGATCATTAAACCAGTTTTTAAGACAAGAAAGGACATCTGACCATAACATTGCAGTTCTTGTGCTAAAAAAACAGTGAAGCTTTGAATTAGCATATTATATTAGATCCCGCTATAAATAATGGGATCTAAGAATGGGCGTAATGGGAGTTACTCTCTGAAGAATTACGTTTGGTGATGCCAAGTCATGTGGTTAATATTTAAAATGGTTAAACTAAACATTTGTACCTGTGCAATTATTGTCTGTGTCAGGGATATTCCAGTCCTGGAGAGCTGATGTGCCAACAGCTGTTCTAGATATCTTTAAAGCAGCTGTGCAGCTTTGGTCCAATCAAGCTAATAACAAATGGATTTAAGTTAAAAAAAGCTAAGATAGAATGAAAACCTGCAGACTCACCAGCCCTCTGGGATCATGACTGGAAAGCCCAGGTCTATATTGCCATTTAATTGTAAATAGATATTTCCTGAAATGGAAAGTCATTCAAGTTACACGGTAAGTAAATGACTGCTAACTGTAAGAGCATCTAGAGATTAGAGGAGATTGTGCCTGAAGGAAATGGCTTTATTTTTACAGAATGGACTGGAATCAAAGAACAGCAAGTTAAAATGCATGTTTAAGTAACTGTCAGTCTCTGAATGCAATGGGATTCAAATAGATTAATTCACCTTTGATATTTGCCCTTTTTATAATCCTCAAACAATGATCAGGCTTGTTGTTAAGTGTCATTCAAAATAAGAACTGTTACCAACTGCAAGGCTGTAGAAGTTATTATTATTATTGTTGTGTTGTTGTTGTTGTTGTTGTTGTTGTTGTTGTTGTTTTTGATGTTGTTATTATTATTAGCTGGTATCGTGTGGACAGTCACAATGGGTGGACTGCAAAAGAGCTGGTGTCCTCATATTTCTAGGGTGTTATTTGTGGTTTTGGTTCAAAGAGACAGGGCAGCATTTAAGCAACCTGGACATCGAGGATGAATAATTCTGCCCATCCCATGACATTCACCTAGTCCTCTATTGGGCATAGTTTTATCCCACTTACCACGGGTGAGATCGGAAGGAGGTTATTGCTTTATTTGACATGGCACAACAAGTCATGATACATAAATGCTATTGGTATAATTTGTTTGAGCAAACTTTTTTTTTATTCTGATCCCCAAATATCACATTTATTTTAAATTAGAAATGTATTATTACTATTTATATTGTTTATTATTTTATTCGGACGAAGACCGTCCCTCTAAAGACACATCCCCCCCAAACAGTGCCATTCTAAAGCCATAATGCACCATACCAGTAGATAAAATATTAAACCTGAAGATGTACATAAAAAATAGCACAAAGGGAATATAATACATTTTCCTCGCATTTTGTACTGTGAGATATAATCTACAGAATTCACCAAACTAGCTGCTTTTATGTTTGCTGTCGAAGAAAATTAAATGTTTTCCACCGCACCTATTACGTATATATAGATATGATGGTTATTTAACGGTTGAGGCATAGCACCAGTAAATGCGATTAATAAGAATTACCTAAAGCATCTTCAACACACTATTCATGAGTTAGAAGTCAAAGAAAAAAAGTTACACTTTTACAGACAACGGTGACAAGTTGTTATATATGCTCTTCGATGTGAGCATGAATATTATTTTTGGTACTGTTTTTCATTATCATATAGTAATCTATTTTAAACATAATTCGTCCGCACACTTATCACACGTAGAGAAAAAAAAACACACCTTGTATTTGTATTTTCTAGCAGTTCTGGTTTTGGATCAATATCAATAACTCTATGGACTTCTTAACGAAAACTTTTTCGGTTCATTGATCCGACTGACAACACAAATGCATCCGGACACCCCGCGTAACGTGCAGGTTAGCCAGACCAGATGCATATGAACACTGAAAAGAATATTTAAGGAACAAACGCACTCCGTTAAAGGCCCCCTTTATGTAAAACAAGGTATAAAATTGATTGATGAGACGATGGAAATTGAACAACTGCATGTAAAATTTAAAACGTTAATACTGCTAATCAGCACTGGCATAAAATGTGAATTGCTGTCATGCAAAGGGTTAAGTTCAAATGTTGGGATATATTCTCTGTGACAACTAGACCTCAGTAATTGTAAAGTGTAAATAATCCCATCAAAGGCGAACAGTGTGTCAAGGTCTGACTAATCCCTTGTTAATAACGGTAAGCAGAACTCCACCCTCCAATTTCTTACCTTAGGCTAAATTAAGTGGCAACATCATTTTTTTGTGGAAATGTTTAATTGCCTCAAAATAATTAAATTACTTTAATACGCAGTCACAGAAGTATAACTCTTTACGTTGCTATAAAACAGACAATAATATGCATTCCCTTTTTCTGTGGTCTTCAGTTTCATGCACCGTGACAGTAATCTTATTTGAAAAATGTGATTAAAACCGGATAATCATTAAGATCATTAGGAGGTGTGAGGCATTGCAAATAAACAGGCAACGTTTTACAAACTTTCACGTCAACAGAGACTCCCAAGCAACGTTGAGTTGCGTTAACATAACTGTAAATAAGTCCTAATTTTTTTTCTTTCTCTTTTCTTTTATCTGATTTGGGGGGATTAAAAGGAGAGAGCCGTATCTGTTGTGTCACTAGATGGTATGTGCGATTTCTTCTTTAAAAGCGAACTGAACCATTTGGAAATGTGCAGAGCAGGGCAACAAGAGTGCGGGGTTTTTATTGAAAGAGTTTTCCTCTCTCTGACGCCCCCTCCCCTGCTCCCCCTCCCTTCGATGATTTGAAGGACTGTCTGGGTGGTCTCCCTCTCTCTCCACTTTGGTGAGCTGTTGCTTAGCAGCTAATAATAGGAGATGTTTGCAAAGTAATTTGCCTCTTCCTTGGCCAATGAGAACCAGAGCACTTTTCCATCAAACCACCCTTTTCAGGATTTGCAAAGGGGCTCCCTTCTCCAAATGTTACTGCAACGGGATCAGAAGCAGACTTAGAGATCTGCCCGAGATTTTCCTCTGGTTTTTAACTTTGTTTTACAAGATTTCTGGGCGAATGAAGACTGAAGGATCTATAAGGATTTGGGCACATAATGTTGGGATGGAGTTGCAAGACTTTGGCTCAAGGAAAGACTAGAAGATATTCTCCAAACTTTAACCCGGTGGATGCGCTTGTTCTCCTTCTTGGATTATTGTTGCTTTTGCTGAAACCGCAGCGATTGTTCTTCCTCATTTTCTTGTGTGCTTCGTTTTCTTGTTTGGACTATGGCCTCGGATCTCAGAGTCCAAGGGGCCGGTATCTTTGGAGATTTACCCCCAAGTTACACGCGTTCTCCACCGGCTGCGAACTCGGATCTGCTCCGGCGACCCAGTTACTGCCACGCTGCTTTCGCGTTAAAACAGATTTCTAAGGTGACAGAACACTTCTTCTTACAAATTGAGTGCATACCGAATGGTTTATGTCTTTTTATTCGTGTTAAGCTTTTAAGCCTTATACTCTTAACCAACCTTTTTCTTTTAAAAAATCGTAGTATTTCGACCGTGGAAACTGAGGGGGGGGTGGGGTGGGGGGGTTAAACGAGAAATGTCAAACTAGTTTCCCCCCCTTTATAATACTAAGTATGTTTTGCTTGAGCATTTCAGCCACAGTGTCACCGCTGCCTAAGTTTTAAAATGTTACAGATGTCAAAGTTTCTATTCTCGTAAATGTGCGTTTATACGGATTGGCATATATAATTCTTCAAAGCGTGTACGCTTTTAAAGTTTCCGTTCTTAATAATATTTAAGATATAAAAATTGTACATTGAAGCTTTCTATCAATCGTTTAGTGTCTATATCAAGTTTCAGTTGCGTGCATTTTTATAGTATAAGTGAGATTGTTTTTAAAAATGAAAGGAATCCATAGAACTTTGTTGTGTTTGTTTGAAGATGTGGTGGGTCGCCGAGAGGAATTCACTGATTAAGTTTTATCTGACAGACCCATCACTGAACCGCACGAAGGTTTGGATAGGTGTCAAAACCGGTGTAAAAAAAAAATCTATATCCACAATTCAGAATAGACAATGAGATTAAAAGATGTCCATGAAGGAAAGAAAATGATAGAAACAAACTGGAAAGGTGAATAAGACGTCATGTGTCTTATAACAGAGGGTCCCGTGTTCTGGTTTTCTTGTTCGTGTGCTACTGATTTCTAAAAGAAAATAGCGACAACATAAAATCGCTTTTATTTTACATTTGCTAATAAGTGACCCTTCTCCGAAAATGCTAATCCGCTAATATTTGAACGTAGACTATGGAGATTCGCATTTATTTATTTTTTAATAGATGTGCTTTTTAAAAAGACACACGAGGCATCACATCCTGCTTCCAGTATCCAGATTCGAGGCGGTGGGTGCGAGTGTAATGACACTGGATTGCTAATAACATGCATTTCTGGTTCTAGATTAGTCATGGATGTGCGCTACCCCCCATATCCGTGGCCATCCTGTGGACAGTTCGAAAAAATGGGCCGAAGAGACGGCTAGGGTTTATTTAGGACAATAACTCCTGGGTCACAAGCGCCAAAGTGGACTTCTTAATGAATTTAACTTCATAGTGTTATAATACACCTAAAACATTAGCTGTCTTTATGCTGGGCATATTTCAGAGCTAAACTTGACAGAACGTCAGCTGCTCGCAGTGTAAATTCGACAGCTGAAATGATCCATATTTTGCCTCATGAATAAAATACCGAGTGAGGATAATATTCAACTAATTTGATAGTATCATTTCTGATGTTCGCCCATTCACCCTGTCCTTTAACTTTTATCGGGCTAGATCTAACGCTTTGCTGGAGATTGTTGATAGTTGTATAAAGTTGTCTAACAGTGTAACCCGCGTGTCTTAGCTGTCTGAGAAAATACATTACTGTACGGCAATGGAAAAAACGACTGGTTATGATACTTTGTTCGTTATAAACTATGTTGAAAGTGACAAACAGAGCGGTCATCTTGTATGTAACACGAAAGTGTATGTTTGTTTTCTCTCCCCTCCTTCCAGGGTAAAGCAGTGGGACAGAAAGCCCCGTTGTGGGTTCGGGCGCGATTCCAAGCTCTTCTCTTTTCTCTGGGTTGTCAAATCCAGCGGCACTGTGGAAAGGTCCTTTTCATTGGACTGCTTGTATTCGGGGCCTTGGCTGTTGGATTGCGGGTCGCTGCCATTGAGACGGACATAGAGCAACTCTGGGTGGAAGGTCAGTAAAAAGCTCGGATTCGACTCTCAAAAGGCACGTTGTTAGAAGGGGGTGCATTTTTGTGCCGTCAAGGTGGGAGGTAGATAAGAAGCGTGGTACCATCTCAGCTGTCATTTCAGTTGATCTGTTTGCTGTCTATTTCTGGAGAAGGTCAACCATTTATCACTGGTGTGTGTAATGAATATGGTGACAGGTTTCAAGACTGTATTTTGAAAACAGTTCTTACAATACTAAACAAACTCAGACATACTGCAGTTTATTGTTTCATATCTTTGTTTTTTCGTGTTATATAACAATTGCAGCGCAGTAGCTTTCATTGTCTTTGATTGCACACATAAAGTTTTGGCTGTTAAAGTGAAATCCGGGGCATTACATTGTGCAACACGTGAGCCACGATTGATCCTGACACAACACGCCGTTTTCGGTTACAAAGTAATTTTGGAGCGCTTGTCTGTTGGGGCGCGTTTCCTCTGTTTCGTTTGACGAAGTTACCTTCCCGTCATCCTGCACGACTGTTGTGGGATTCTCTTATCTTGCACATTTGGACAGCTTGAAGCTGGTGGGGTTTTATTTGGTGTTCACACCCCCAAATTCTTTCTAAGCCCTCTAGGCTTTAGCACGCCGCTGATCCCAAGAGCAGATGTGCTGTGTGAAACGTTAGCCATCTTTCGGGCTCCGACCCTCCCCCATTGCTCCCTGTGTGGTCTGAAACTATTCTTGGATTCCATTCAACAATAAAGGAACCCCCTTTCTTAAAAATAGTGAATACTACTGAAGTTTACCCACCTGTTTCGCGCACAGTAAAGAAATGTTCTCGTTTTAACTCAGCCTTTCCTTTTCTGGTCTTATTGAGAAAAACGCAAAATTGTACATGACAGCTTCAATCTGGCCAATAGTTAAATAGCTTACTTACACAGATTCCCGTTGCTTTAAACTCACTGCGGTTTCCCGGAGCACTGCTGTCGCTTACATTGCCAAACATACTCGATTTATTTGCTGTTGATGCGCTTTAATGTTTTTCTGGACGGACGTTTTCAGTATATTTGCCATCTTAGTTGTAATGGCTCTTCAAAACATGATATTTCAAAACAAACTACCAGTAAAGTTTGTACTGTTCTGTTGAAGAATACTGAATCTAGCAGTTTCAGTTGCGTGATGTTTTAAAGCAAACTGATGTTTTCTACTGCTGTGAATGAAAGGCCAATAGCGTATAAAAGTGCTGCTCCTTTAAGAGGCTGTGTCCCTGTTTCTAAAGTTTCTGCCTGCGTTGTTTCCCCCAATAGCCCATTGACAAAGCTGCTCTGAGTTGAATGGAGAGTAAGTGGTTTGGTAACAAGGAGAGTTTAGTTCTCACACACACACACATGAATAGAGAGGGATTCTATGGGGGGAGTTAAATTAGTACACAGAATTCTATATTACAAACAGGAGGCTGTTTATATGTTATATTTTCCAATTGCTAACACATTGCTGCTGCAGCATAACTGGAGTTAAGTTTGACATGCAAAGGATACCTACACTGTAGCTATTTACGAGGCTTATTGCCATTTTGTGCTTGTCTGAGGATGTCAAAATATTTTAGAAAAGACTGAAACATAATGTTAGAAGACAGCTTTCTTTTTCTGCTTTGATTTTCCATGAAAACACATTTTATGTTTTGGAAGCACTTCAATAGGCCTGTAAGGGTAAGACTGGATCTGAAATAAAGAGTATTTGGAAATCAAAATCTGTTGTGCTGCAAATACAAAATAAAGGTATATAGGCTATAGATCCTATTATCTATGTATTTTGTCAGATGTATATATTGTATATATTTGCGCCCTCAAGCATGTACAAAGCTTTGTTTACAGCATCTAGAATACCCCTTAAATATTTTCTGTGTTTTTGTAAAAACTTTAAAGGCTTTCAAGAAATCTTGATTTGAGGAAGATTGCCAGTGTAGCAGCATTCCAGTTTTGTAGGGCATGTGAATATTCAAATCTCCAAAGCCTAACCAGGCACAAATGTCTTGGTTTAGCTTACGATGTATCTCAGATCTGACCCAGTTTTACTAACTGTTACATCCTGAGGTTCTTTGTTTTCCTCACACCAAGTTTGAGATGTTGGGCTCTGCATTTATGTGCTACATGTACAAGGAGCTCAGCTGGAGCTGAAAGTGTTAAGGTGATGCTCCTTCCTCTGACATAGACCAGCTGTGACATTTGCAGCTTGTGCCTCCATCAGATCTCCAAAGGAGTCTTTGGCCTACACCTCTTGTGCTTGCAACTGCTAAGTGTGTTTACCCTGCATGTGAAATGGGACCACCAGGCATTATTTTAATTGCTTCCTCCTACTTGTCAAAAATGAAGTGTGAAAATCTTTACTGTTGAGTAAAGAGCACAAGAAGGTGCTTCCCACATTAATATTGCCTGTTTGCAAGTTCTAGAACAAATATTGCCCTGAAAAATGGTTCCTTGGCAGGCAATTACTGTTTACGTTTTGTTTTTATTTGTTGCTGTGTTTCACATTGAACAGAAGCAGCTGAGAAGACACTACTTAAAAGAGAAAGCTTTTGCTCAGACGTAAATTCACTGCAGAATGAAACATGGTGATTGATGAGGTTCTCTAGCCAGTGTCTGGTTTAATTTTTAACTGAAGTAATGCTCATCTGTGCCAGTACAAATCAATGGAATGCACACAGTTTACATTTTGTTTTATTGTTATTTTCTGGCGATTCATTTTTGTTCCTTTGCACTTAATGGCATTGGGGACGTCCATGGATATGCCGTTAGGGTTTAATGATAGAAATTAGAACATTAAAGATGGGAAGGAAAACCAAGCACAGAAAGTAAAGCTCAGTTAAGGGGCAGACCCTATAGATAATGGGACTCTCGGTGTATTGTCTAGACTAGCAAGAATAGGATAAAGAAGAGAAATGTTGAGAAGGAACAATGCAGGGAAGCATTTGAAAAGTATGTGTTTTTAAATTTTGTTCCTTAGATGTGTATGGTCCCCTACTTCCTACATGTCAAGCTTATAAAAACTAATATAATAGAACTTCCATAAAAAACAGTCATCTCTAGAACAGGGACATACTGATTAGTGCAGCAAGGAATATTTTAGTTTGCATCTAGGAACACAGACATCTAATGCATTGTTAGGATGTTTGAAACGCTCTTTAGGTATGAAGAATTATATTGTGGGTTGATGCATTTAAAACAGAAAAGAAGTGAAATTTAACAGAAAATGTTTAATCCATACTGGAAAACCAGTCTTCCCTGCTTCCAAGCCAGGCATACCCCAGCCGACATCTTGCTTCAATATCACAGAACAGATCCATGTGGGAATTTTCACATCCCACCCTTTCTTGGAAAAAGCGGCTTTCTCATGTTGACAAAATGTCAATCAAAAGAGCATAATACGGCTCAGCTTTCTGGTAAATCCATGCTCCAGACCGTTGAATGGACGAAAAATGGAAGGATAGCTAAATCCATCACATTGAGCAAACATAAGGACATGAACTGTACATGTTTTAACTACGAAAGAGCATCAGTTTGAACTGGCTATTTAGAAAAACAAAGACTACTGTGATTTCTGTTTTTTTCAGATAGTGAAAAAGGGTTCTTTTCCTTGCCAAACTTTAACATAATTGTGTCAGACACATCTCAGATTCTTTACTGCTGTAGATTAGGGTGGAAGGAGGAAACAAAATTCAGACTCTGTCTTTTTAATCTGTTTCAAAGACCATAGTTTCTGGCTCCCACACCTTGAAGAAAAAGATCAAATGCTGCTTTCTTCACCAAGAGGTGACTTTTTCGAGATATGTTGTCAGGTTTGTGGTGTAACTTACACGTCTTTTAAGATGATTTTCAAAGAAATCCATTCAAAGACTAGAGGGATTTAATGTTTTGTGACTTTGATTGTATGACTTGAGTTGTGGCTCTCTATAACGCATCTTGAAATGTTTTATAATGAGACTCTGTGTAGTAAAAAATGGCACGCACACATGTACGCACAGCATGAATAGAAAGGTCCAGATGGAGCACTGCTGACACCTTCTAGGACTCAAACAAACAAGGCTTTCGAAGGAAATCAGTAGATATGTTTGCATTCAGATTGGTTCTCTAAATAAAAATGTAAGGTAAATGCAATAATTCATCAAAAAAATACACAGTTCCCCTGTCCCAGGCCTGGTACAAGAGAAAGAAAGCTCTATCAAGCATTATCAGAGGTGAATGGCAAGCCACAGGGCTCCAGCTACATAAATAAACTGTAACTGCTGAGCTGCAGACCTCACGAGTAGAAAGAATAACAAGGCCAGACTCGGCCTGGGTCAGCAGAAAGTGTTTATTCCACACATCCCCTACCTGAAGCCCCCCCATCTCTCCAACTACATGTGTAAATATCTATGTATATGGCCATTTTTTGTAAATAGTTATAAACTATACATAGTTAAAATGTATCTAGCTCTTGGAGAATGGACTAAGGTCCTTTTGCTTATCATTTGATTGCTTCTGTAGAGGCTAGCATACGAATCACTAAACAGTAAATGGACTATCCAGCAGTGGGCACAGTATTCATTTATGGACAAAGTCTAAACTCTTTCTGCGTTTGTGCAAAACAAGTATTGGATGGTGTTAAGCGTTATGTCATCACGTTGATATTAGTATTGGTTTCCTTTTTGCTTATGGTGTAGCTTTGTTACACGAACCTGCGGCACGATCTCGCAAATGTTCATTTGATTATCCCTGAATTATGGAGTTTCCAATTGGCACTTGCGGACTTTTGTCATTGCTTGTGATACACGTCTCACTTCAAAAAGGTTGACAAGCAAGGTCAAAGTTATTTATTTTTAAATTCAATGCTGTAAAAATCTAATCCTGCATAAGTAAACTTGTTGACTGTGTCCAAGGGTCTGTGCATGGTGCTGACCCATCAGGATAGGTAACTGAAACTTCTGTAAATCTCTCAATTTCAGTCATTTTGGATCTGTTTTTTTTTTCTGTGAAGAAAGTTAGTTT